ACCCTGAAAATCGAGGCCCTGAGGGCCTGTCGCGCCTGCCTTCACTTAGGGCGGCCGACATGCTGCAAAAAGGGCCCCAAAGGGGCTGAGCGGGCATAGCCTCGCATTCCCTCCTCCATATCTTCATTAGTCCTCTGAGAAGATCAATCCTGAGCCATCTGGCGCTTTCCTTTCAATACATCCTTCTCATAGCGGGCAACGATTTGAGGAGCGGTCTGCATCAATTCCTCCTCCTCCTTCGGATCTGTGTGATCTCTGAAGTGGACACGAAACTGCAGCTTTGGCTTTGGAGGACGTCCCCTTCCCGGAGGCTTCTGAACAGGCATCTCCCTGTGGTCAACGATATCATCGATGTCGACTTCTCCGTCCATGGTTGGGGGCAGCATCGATCGACGAGAGGGAAACTGATCAGTTTCCTCGAACGCAGCGAGCTTAGAGGCGTGAAAGACTGGGTAAGTTCTGAGATGACCAGGGATACGGATGACATATGATGGACCATCAGGATCTGTCCCTACTACGTCTAAAACTTCCCAAGGTCCAAAGTAGTGAGGCATGAGTTTGCGGGATATCCCGAACTCCTGTCCCAGTTCTGAAGACTTGACCCAGACTATGTCCCCAACCTGAAATGTAGAAGGGCGGCGGTGTTTATTCTCAGATTCTATCATTGCTGCCTGCGCCTTCTGCATGTGCTCTACAGCCTCCTGCATCTTCTGTAGGCAAACTCTAGAGTGCCTGGTGCAGCAGTTGGCTGGTTGTCAGAAAGTAGGAAGTCTAAGGGCAGTCTAGGCTTAAACGTTAGTTGTAGACTGTTAGGACTTACCCCTGTAGCGCTGTGTACAGCGTTATTGTACAGACTGACGACAAGTGCGAGCTTTTCGTCCCAGTCCACCTGGTTGGGCTTGATATAATGCCTCAACAGGTGTTGCACAGCGCGGTTCATCTGTTCGGCCTGGCCGTTGGCTTCGGGATGATTCCCAGAAGTCATCTGCAGTTGAGTTCCTTGTTCCGCTGCAGCAGCCTTCCATAACTCGCTTGTAAACCTGACATCCTTGTCGCTCACAATAGACTTGGGCAATCCGAAATCTCTCACCCAGTTTTCTTTAAACAACTTAATCACGTACTCAGTCTTTGTTGTCTCAGGCATTGCTACTAACCTAGCAAACTTACTAAACCTATCCACGATGACAAAGATCTGTCTCATCCCACTCTTGCTGGTGACTAGCGTATCCATGAAGTCCATGGACAGGCTCTCACCCGGCCTCTCCGGAATCGGAAGGGGCTTGATCAGCCCAAGAGGAGCCTGAGTACGGACGGGGCTTGTCTCGTTGGCAAACTTGACAAGTCTCCACATACAACTTGGCATCTTTCATCATCGTGGGCCACCAAAACCTCTGCAGCAAATTGGCTGCGGTCTTTTTGAACCCAAAATGGCCGGTGACATCATGACATTCTCCTAAAAATAAACTACGCAAAGACTCGCTACTAGGGACACACAATCGTTTATTCCCCTCCTTCTCGAGAAACAGCAAACCATTGACCATCTCAAACTCTGCTGAAGTCCGTTTGTCCTTCACCTCGAGTCTGCGGATGATCTCTGACATAAACTGATCTTCTCGATAGGCCTCCACCAATGATCGAGACACGTCGTCGTTTAACTCGAACTCAGTAATCAGCGCACCTGAGAAATCAGGTCTACGCGGTAAGGCATCAACCACCTTATTGTACTCCCCTTTTAAATACTGGGGGTCGAAGTCATACTGCTCAATGACCTCGATCCAACACTTCAGGGCGTCGGAAAGTACTGACTGAGTTCTCATCCATCTCAAGGTCTAATGATCAGTCCTGAGGATGAAGAACCTCCCGAGGAGATAGTGTCTCCAATGGGTTAGAGCTTTGTAAACAGCGTAGAGTTCCTTCTCATAGGTGGACTTTGCCAACTTCTGAGACGGCATCTTCTTTGACATGTACTCGACTGGCCTCAACTTTGGTCCCTCCTGCTGCGCAAGCACGGCGCCAATGCCATATTGGCTGGCATCCGTGGTGACTATAAACGGCTTGTCAGGGTCAGGAAGTTTCAAGACCTCGTAGTGCGTCAATGCATGCTTCAACTGTCTGAAAGCAGCCTCGCACTCATCTGTCCAGTCCCACGGGGTGTCAAGGTGGGTCAGATCAGTCAAAGGAGCGGCCACTACGCTATAGTTTCTTACAAAAGTCCGGTAGTAGCCTGTCATTCCTAAGAAAGATCTCATCTCAGTCACAAACTGAGGTCGTGGCCAATCACGAATGCTGGCCACCTTCGCGTCATCGGGCTTCAACCCTTCCGCGGAGATCTCATGACCCAAGTACAMGACACGGGTGCGCCCAAACTCACACTTCTCACCGTTGATCTTGAACTTGTGCTGTCGCAGGAGACGAAGRACTTTGTCCAAGTGTGCAACGTGCTCCTCGACAGTCTTACTAAAAATAAGTATGTCATCGAGGTACACGATGACAAACTTATCCAAGTAGTCATGGAATATCCGATTCATATCGTGCTGAAAGGTGCCAGGAGCATTGCACAGGCTAAAAGGCATCACCACAGACCGTACCTGGTTTGAAATGCGGTTTTGTGTTGATCCTCGGGCCTACCCGCACTTCAGACCTATCTTACTGAAGTACTGACACCCTTGCACTCTATCTAACAGATCGTTGATGCCCGGTAGGGGCTCTCTGTTCTTCACAGTGATGGCATTGAGGCCCCTATAGTCAATGCACATCCTGAGACTACCCTCCTTCTTAGGCACAAATAACACTGGAGACCCATAAGGAGAGACACTCGGCCGGATCCAACCCTTCTCTACGAGTTCCTTGAGTTGGCGGCGAAGCTCATCAAGCTCGCCTGGAGACTTCCGATAGATCCTACCCTTCGGAATACTAGATCCTGGGATAATTTCTATCGCGTGGACGACCTCCCTCTCGACAACCCCTGTCGGCTCTTCAAATAGATCAGGGTACTTGGCAACTACTCCCTCTATCTCCGACGGCATTTTCACCGGCTCGCCTACAGCAGAGACATATCCATGGGGAGACCGTCGCTCACTAGGAATGAGACACGATGCCTCAATTCCCCTCCCGCGTACGGGAACAAGCACTCAACATCCTGAAGGTAGTCATTTACTACCATGCGCTGTTTGTTGGCACAGGTCGACTCCACAGGTCGACTCAGGCGCTGCACTTGCCCCTGTAAACGCAGCCTCTCAACGCACGCGCGACTAGTGAAGTTTCGTGTCGAGCAAGTGTCATAATAGGCCCCGGCCTTGCGACCGCCTACGACTATCTCGCTGACGAACATCTCACCCTTCGGGGCTTTAGCTAGTGTCGTCCAAGAAGCTAGCGGGTCTAATCTAGACCACTCCTCCTCTAGCTCCTCTAAGGACTCAAACACATTCATCGAGCAAAGGGTCGAGATGGGTCTGAATGCGTTTGCGGGACGACGAGGGAATCAGTAGCTTGGGCCATGATGCGAGATGGCGAGGGTGTCTCCACCACCTCGTCCCTAGTAGGAACAACTACTATTCCTACTGGCCTGACGTGTTTCCCGGAGCAGTGCCTAATGAACTGGCAACATTGCTACCTACGGGAGATGAGGATCCTACCGCCTGCCCCATAGTAGGCGGGATCTTATCAGTGACTTTCTTATTCCTACATTTGAACTGGCTATGGCCGTATTGGCCACAACGAATGCAGACTTGGCGATTCCACCGATCTCTCCACACGTCCTCTAAAAGACCCGCTTTCTCCCATGGAGGAGCATTGGGGTCAACTTGATTCCTAGACCGGGAGCCCCCTCGGCGTCTACCGGTCCCCTTACCTTTTTGTTGAGTTACGGCGGCGACTACTCCCCCCTCTAAAGTTTCGCCACCCGCCTCTGCACCTACTCCCTCCTGGAAGKTRCCGTCCAACTCGATGGTTGAACCATCGTTGTCGACAAACATGATGCGACCCTTCGCTTTCCAGTTGGGAGGCAGTGTCTTCTTCCTCCCGTTCGTAGTGGGTGTCTGTCCATGCCCTATCTTTGCTTCTAGGTCTAGGGCCACCTTGCTGAACGAAGGAAAGTTGTGCATATTGATGTTGGCCTCTTTTGCCAACTGGTTCCTGAGAGGCTGGGATAAGCATCTCAAGTACGAAGTCAACAGGACCTGAGGGTCATAGCGCACACCTGGGACACAGATTAAACGCTCAACAACGTCTGTGGCTTCCCTAGCTGACTTAAACTGCCGCGTGTGCAGTGTCAGGATCGCATCAGTGGCCTTTTGGGCCTCCTGAGGATCATGCCATCTCTCTTCCACCATCTTCAGGAAGTCCTCCAGCTTCTGAGAGACTGCCCAAGAGCGGAAGTCATGACCACGCCCCTGGAGTTGTACGAAACCACTCAACCATCTTGCTGCACTACCCTCTAGGTAGGATGCAGCCACAAGCACTTCTTCGTGCGGCAAGGTGAGTTTACACCTGACGTAGACCGACACTGCCCTCAACCAAGTGTCAAGGTCTTCGCCTCTCTTGTCCCCTGTAAAAGGTTTGGGAGCGACGATGGCCGTCTTCGGAACCCACTGAGTTTGTCCCGATCCCTGCACCACCCCGGGCTGTGGACCTGGTGATACAGGTTGTTGTGCTGGCTGCTGGGGCTGTGTGCCCTGTGGCTGCACAGGTTGCGAGACAGCAGGCTACGTGGTGACCGCAATCTGCAACGGACTCTGAGTGAACACTGTCTGTACAGGAACCTGTGAACTACTCCCTGTTGTTACCCCTCCTGACAGCGGCATGCCCAGGGAAACGATTGCAACCGTTGACGGGGCTACATATGGGGATACCTCTGTCACCTGTGGGACAGAAAAAGGAGGATATGGCACGGGCCAGGCACCAGGCCCGGCTGGTGATGGTGCCGCCTGAGCACGGCCTGCCAACACGGCTAGGCTTTGTTGAATGTCCTGAAGGATGGTAGTTTGATGCTCCTGCATCTCGATTACGCCTAGCAGGGCCCTCCTAACTACCGTCACATCATCATCCATATGCGTCAGGTCCATCGTCTCTAACTCCTCTATGTATGCCCCTCTGTGTTGCATCCTGGTTCTTCTTCTAATCATCATCTCTTTTTCCCTTTTTATCTGTCCTAATGCCTGCTGTAGCTATGCCTCCTGCAGGGCTGCATGCTGGATGGCGACATCCTCTGGGGTCAACACCGCGGGCTGGCTTACCACTAAGCTAGTGGACTGACTCACGGTCTGTGCGACCGTCGACCCGGCGGTACCTGAACTTCCGGCTTGGGAAGTCTGCTGCGCAGACGTGCTCATGGCTGTGGTAGCCATGGCTGCTGTAGCACCGGCCTCGCCAACTAAGGTTCTGCTGGCCTCGGCTGCTCTAGCTCTCCTCTGCTGCTGCCTCTCCCGCTGTCGACGGAACAATTCCCTATCACCCTCCGGTCCTAAGGACACGTGAGTTATCGGGCCTCTACCAGATCGCAAAATCCTGCGGTCGTCCTCTCAGGTGTCCCCTGTGTCGCTCATGGACTACAACACTGTGCAATGTCTACACTAGATCATTCTAGATGCCTACCGCAGCATAGTGCACAGACCAACTATTTAGTGGTGGCTATTTTTGGAACAGATCTCATTTGGGGTCAACAGGTAAGTCAGATTCCTACCGTCAATACTATTTTTAGTAAGATTAGTTCTCGAACAGAGGAAGCATCAGGAATAAACAATATTCTAAACTAATGTTGTCTATCAGATGTCACACGGCTGTCCATCTAACTAATCAAAATAAAAATAATGTTGACAGACTGCGTCTGTTCATAGCATGGAATTTAACCCGAACTTATCACCTGGAACCTACTCCTCCCTTGGTTCTTCTCAAAGTCACGGTGTCACGTTTCTTCGCATAAGAAGCCAAGCGTGTCTAAAAAGGTGTGCAATCCGGTCCCACCCCTGTGCCCCGGGTTATCGTCGAGCAAGGCAGCCACAACACTCTTATTTACCCTCGTACGCCGACGAGCCTTCCACTCGGATGATCTGGCTGATCAAGAGGCAATTTAACGTCCGCCCCCAAGTGACATCAGGAATTATTTTACGTCGCAGCAGGACGACGATCACAGCCAGGTCAGAGCCGAGTCCCCAGCCAAAAATGTTTATAGACGGTCTGGAAAGCGTCTGTAGAGGCTGCCACACTCGAGTTAACCCCTATCATGCGCAAGCAGCAGAACCAATGACTTGCAACGAAGCATGCATGTACTACACCCAGTGGGTTGGCATGGTGACCGTGACCCAGTGCTTCGTCCAGGGCCCTTCAAGAAGCTCCGCCCGTCTTCCCCCAGATGCTCCACRTGAACAATCACGACTCTCAAGGTTGAGCGCACATGACACCTCACGATGAGAGGACTCTCAAGACAAAACTCACAACCTCACGGTAAGAAGTGATGAAGAGGGTAGATAAGGTTAAGAGCAACGTACCTCGTTCATGCTGCCCCCAACCACAGAGGTAATCTCACCAGATGACCTGAAGATGATTGCGATGACCAGTCACAGCATCGGCACAACCAGCATTTCGCCGTTCCACCTCAGCCTCAATCACCCAACAGATAGTTCTCATCACACTACGAACACCCAATATTTACACCTTAGCCTTCCAGGCGATGCCCCTCACCACCTGGGTCGCCTTCACACTCATCTCCACCCTCCTCACTACACACCACTTACGGCCAAACTCTCCCAGCAGACCGCATGTATGTACCGCATATGGTAGAAGACAAGCGTCAGATGAGCGCAATCGTACCACAGCTCCGATACCAAATTGCAAGGAAGATGAGCATTAGCGAACTCCAGCAATCAAACAGCATCATACATATGTATCCAGATAGTCTTGACCTCGAACCAACAGCAGTCATG